TGTTTACAAAAATCGGGCATCAAACCATTAAGTGACAGGCGTGTGGATGCATGCGAGAAACTGTTTAATGAAATCACCACAACACCAGTAGCTAATATGCATAATCATGTACCATCTAGATACTTTCCAAATTACGACCTTAGACACTCAAGGTCTTTTGTTGTTCCTCAGACCAAAACGAACAGATTTAGAAACAGTTTTTTCCCTTCATCTGCAAGGCATATCAATAATATTAGCTGACAATCGATTCTGATATTCAGTTTTAGACTGACTAACATTTTTTTAGAAATTTTCTAGTTTCATAGCTAATTTGTAATGTAACTTTAAACTTCTGTAATATAGAATTATAAATTGTAATGTAATTTTAAACTTCTGTAAATATAGAATAACTAATTTAATCATTTCTCTTGTAAAATTTAGCACGCAATTCAGCCTCTTGGCTGCTATGTGTTAATCTTATTAAACAAACAATCTATCTATCTATCTATCTATCATGAGTAAAATTGTCTGGCATTTTACACAGAAAAAATAATAAGGTAGAGCGCATTGCCACATAAAAGGTTAACGTTCTCTTCAATGTAGAATATTTACAAGTTAGTATAATATACCTGTACTGCATGTAGTGTCACTGCTCAATCAAGCATGTCATACAAGTCCATTAGTTAAAATTTAAAAGTACAAGCATCATACCACAAGTCAGCAACTCCATTCGTTGTCGGGTTTGTTAATCCATAAACATACTCTCCAGCAAAAGAATAACATTTTCCAAATAGACTATGCAGTACTTAAAATGCCATTAATGATTATATATATTGCCACTTGTTTAGACAACTTGCCTTCTCCTGGGAAGCTTTTATTAATAACTTTTCATTCAGCATCAGGATATATAATGAATCCATATTGAGTACAATCTCTATTAAGAAAAAAATACATATTAAGGTTGATATATAATGGTAGCAAATTATTGATTGATTGACAATGAATTTCCTATTTTTGGTTAGTGTACAAAGCAAGAAATACAAAATTCAAATGCTTTCACTTGACATGTTTAATGTAAGGCTAGCATGCAATTGAAGTAACATCTGCATCCAATACAACTATTCTCACTGGTAAAAGACTGTTTAAATACTGGTGCATAACAACTGTTCTTCCAATATTTCTAATTGAAAAATATCATTTTAAATAATCCAGCAAGGTAGATTTAGTGGCTGTTTATATGAGGTAATGGCACCTGTGTACCTGAGCTGGCCCAGTTTTGGTGAGATCCAGACTTTGTTATTATATTCTATATATTTCAACTTGTGTTTTACTTTATAATATAGAAATGAGCTGGTCTCTTTTAGGAAGATGGGGGCTTCGGTGGCAAAGCTGTTATATGCACTTGCCATTCACCTCTAAGGCTGCAGGTTCAAGCCTCAGTGAGAACTTTCTCAATGCGACTCAAACCCAGTCCTCATGTGAAGAGTAAAAGTGAACACTCTGTCGAAATTCATGAGTTTTCACCAGGTACTCTGGTTTCCTCCTACCGGGAAAGACAGGGTGGGTGATGTAAACAGCCAACAGTAATTGGCACATGCTGTTGTGGTGACACCTAGTTGGCAAAGCTAAATAAATAACTTAAGATACTGCCTCAATTGACCCAAAATGTTGCTAATGCCAAACTAAGATTTTCCATATAAACTAAATACAATGACGCAGGATTTGGCACAGTATTAATGCTTTGTTTAGGCATAATGTAATCTTCTAAATGATATTTCCCAATCAATTTGAATATTAACCCATTAAGCTGTAGAGTTGGAGTTTCCCCATTGACGAGTAAAATCATTTGGCCAGAGGTGTAACTTAACACTTGCCTGGGGCAAGTGAATATCATGATGGGCAAGTAAACACTGTATCTTGCTGCCCGATTGGGCAAGTTACCTTGCCACTATTCGTTGTCAGATATATTTTGTTTTATAGTGTATGGACTTGGTTCAAATTTCGTTTTTTGTGCACCAAATCTATATCTGAGGCAGTATAACATAGCCATATAGCGCAGTGGGAGAACAGGTTGACATGTTGTCCCCTTAATCTATACCCCCTACCTAGGTACCCAAGTGGCCATTGTCTGATGGCAAGTGAATTTTATTCAGAGCAACTAATCTTTATGACCAACTTGCCCGAGGGCAAGTGGTCAAAAAAGTTACACCACTGCTGGCGGTAGAGAAGTAGATAAAATAAGTAGGTCGCACTAGGACACATTGCGGCTCAATGAGTTAACTTGAGATATTGTCAGATTTTTTTGTTAACCCATTAAGCTGCAGAGCTTCCCTACTGAGGAGTAAAAGCGCCTGGCGTTAAGCAAGCAAAAAAAAATAAGTAGGGCGTACTGGGGCGCATTGCGGCTCAATGGATTAAAAGATCTCTGTGATTTTTTTACAGTTACATTTCAAAACTGTCTGCAAATGTATGTCAAATTATTTATTTTATTGGAAATTATACAACTCAGTCTGGGTGATTTGTTTTGGCAAGCATGTTCATATAAAGAGGCTCATGTAAACAGACATTCATCCAGTGAAAGCGAGCTATAACCAGGTTAGTTAATAGCAGGACTGGCTTGCCTTTATATAAGCGGCCCCTTGCACATGTTTTAGGCCGAGTGGCTGACTGATAAAGCTACACATTGGGAAAGGCTGTCTACATGCTATTAATGTGAATATATACTAAAACTGTCTTTACCAGTGTGGGTAGTACCAATGTAAAAATACTACCTTAAAAAACAACTCGAGTCGACGTTTGGAAATTTATGAAGGCCCTTCGTCAATAGTGTAATTATGCATTTTTTATCATTATAAAGCTTTATTTGCATGACCTAATTACAGGTATTGCTAAGCGTAGATTATACAGGATGTATAACAAAAAAACTGAACAGATTTAAAATTGCTCTCAATTTCGCAAAACAGCTATTTGTATCCGTTTTTTTATATATATAGCCTCTTTGGGTACTTATAGTGTAGAATAATGAGAAAAATTTCTCGAACTCAAATTTTGTGAACCAGGGGGTGGGTGTCTTTTCCAACAAATTATAAATGGCTCGCGCACAAAATTTAAAAGCTGCAATCATATTTTGAGATAACAGATGGAAAATTTGTCGGGATTTTAATTACTGTACAAAATTTCAGACAATATGGTTTAGTTTAAGCCCCTTTATGCAAATTAGGTAAAGGCATTAATTAAGCATGCGAAATGCTGACTTTTTAGAACAAAATGAATAGTTAAAGGGCTTAAAGTAAACCAAATTGTCTGAAATTTTGTACAGTAATTAAAAACCCAACAAAATTTCAATCTGTTAACTCAAAATATGATTACAGCTTTTAAATTTTGTGCGCGAGTTATTTTTAATTTGTTGGGAAAGACACACCCCCGTGGTTCAGAAAATTTGAGTTCGAGAAATTTTTTTGATTATTTTACATTATAAGTACACAAAGAAGCTATATATATAAAAAACAGATACAAATAGGTGTTTTGCGAAATTGAGAGCAATTTCAAATCTGTTCAGTTTTTTTTTATACACCCTGTATATATAAAATGTCAGTAATGTATAAGCTATAACTATAAAAATATATAGGAAGAAGCTATTTACAAATAGAAAAGCAGTATATAATTTAAAGATATAATGTTGTTTTTTTTTTTGTTTATTTAGTTTTATTATTTATCTAAGGAATTTTTAGTCTAATTGTTGTCCCTAATCTTCCATGGATTTGAGGCTTTTATCTCTCTCCGAAAAACAGTGAAAGATATACTTAGAAAGCAGGTTAACAAGAACTGGATCGTCTGAAGACATCGCATGCTCAAACAGTTTTTGTTTTCCTTCCATTGTGTTATTGAGATAAAGTAGATTTTTGAGAATGTTGTTAGAATTATTTCTTAATTCTTCGTATTTCGGGCAAGATAAGGCAAAGTGTTATTCGTTTTCCACTTCACCGGTGTTGCAAAGTTTGCAGAAACGTTGTTCGCGAGAAAAGTTTTCGTATCTTCCTCGCTCGATTTGCAATTTATGATTACTTACCCTATATTGAGAAAATGTTCTTCTTATCGTTGGGTTATCAATAAGGGATAAATATTCTTCCATTTTGTACTGGTTTTTAAATGTACAAAAGAAAGATAGTTTGGAGAAGTTAATCATTTTACGTTGCCAAAATTCAAAATATTTATCTTTCATCTTATTTACAATAGTTTTTGTATCGTAGTTGATTATATCACTTTCCAAGTTTGTTGTATTATCATAGAGTGATTTAATTAAGCATGTTTATTGCGTTGGTGTAGAAAGATTCTTTGCCTTTTTCAAATAGCTGTTTAGACATTAGGAAGGATTGTTTAACTATTGAGTTGTCGTCTAGTTTAAAAATATGTTTAAAATAATTTAGTATATTCTTTTTTATTGTAATCAGCAGTGAGTATTTCCCAAGTTCACTTCTGCAAGCCACGTTACTGGCTCTTCTGTTAACACCTAGGTATAGCTTGCAGAATCTTAAATGAATTTTTTCAGTTTCTGAATTATCCCATTTATTCAGATCATTTTTTTCGTATGCTCCCCAGACTTCTGAGTTATATAGTAGAATTGGGGAAATTATTGAGTCGAAAATTTTTGTTACTGTTTTTGGTGAAAGTTTATGAAAATTTAGATTTTTACGAATTTTATAAAGAACATGCAAGGCTTTTTCGCTTAGTTGTTGTTGTGCGAGTTTACATTTCCCATTTGGTACTAGTTTGAGACCAAGATAGGTATACTCTTTGACTATATCTATCTTTTTATCTCCAATGTGGAAATATAGGTTTGGTAATTTCGAGTTGTGTTTTTGAAAAATCATAATTTTTGTTTTCTTGATATTGACTTCCATTAGCCATTTACTACACCATTCATTTATTTGGTTTAGACAGTTTTGTAAACCTGATTTTGATCGTGAAAGTATAATGAGATCATCCGAATAGAGTAGGCTGTTGATAGTAGTTCCATTTGGTTATAGAAATGGATCTGATTGTGTTTGTTGAAACATTTTTGGAAGATCGTTTATGTAAATATTAAATAATAAAGGGCTTAGAATGCATCCTTGACGGACTCCCTTTTTGTAAGGAAAAAACGGTGTTCTGTTTTCAGATAGTTTTATTGCACATTTCGTGTTTGAGTAGAGGTCTTGAATTAAATCGTAGAAGTGTCCCCCTATGTTGTTTATGATAAGTTGGTAAAATAAGCCTTGTTGCCAAACAGAATCAAAAGCTTTTCTAAAGTCAAGAAAACATGCATAGATTTTTTCTTTTCCACTCTGTTTGACATATTTATCATGCAGAGTTTTCAGCGTAAGAATATGGTCAGCCGTTCTATTTCCAGGCATGAGTCCAATTTGAGTTGGGTGAATTAATTGCATTTCGTTTGCGAAATTCATCAATCTATTATTCAAAATTGAGCAAACTAATTTGCCCATGCAGCTTGAAACACAAATACCTCGGTAGTTGTTTGGATCGAGGGAGTTTCCTGATTTATGGATCGGGGTTATTAAGCCTTCGGTCAATGATTCAGGAAACTTCCCCGATGTTAAGATGTTGTTAAAAATTTTTAGAAAAGCTTTAGAGAGAATTCCAATACTAGATTTAATCATTTCGTTTCTGATTTTGTCGTTATAGACAGCCTTTTTAGATTTTAACTTTTTAGCTGCTTTTAGTAGTTCATCTTCTGTGATGATGTTTTCAAGTTCGGTTAAGTTGTCTTTGATTTTTTCATAGTTTTTCAGGCATTCAACAATTTCGTTTTGTTCCTTGTTTAATTGATGTTCTGAATGAAGTGTTTCAAAATGATTCAGCCATTCACTTGGTTGTGGGCCTTTCTTAGTTTCATTAAAATCAAGATCGTCACTGATATTTTTTAATGTTTTCCAAAATAGCAGTGGATCGTTGCTAGCATTTTCAATTTCTTGGATTTTATTGAAATGGAAATTTTTCTTTTTCATTTCTAAAGTGCTTTTATAGTCTTTCAAAGCAGTATGGTATGCACTTCTGATTTCAGTGTTGTTTCGATCTCTATGTTTCTGATTTGCAAGTTTTCTAAGCTGGTGTCTTTTAAATCTACAATCTTTATCAAACCATTTTTTTTTTCAACATTATTAATTTTTCGTCTATATTTCTTCTTTTTGATTTTAAGAGATTTTTTGGATGCAAAGTTAATAATGTTTTCAAATTCATTGACACATTTGTTTATGCCCTCTCTGTCAGAAGAGAAATCATTTTCAACGAATGTGCTTAGTTTCTCTTGTAGTTCATCTGATTTTAACGCTTTTTTAAAATTCTCATTTGATTCATTGTTCCAAATATATTGTAGTGGTAATTTTGATATTGGGGGTTGTAAGGGAGTATTATTAATAGTGTTAGTGGTTTGGTGTAAGTTAATCCAGGTTATAACTTGACTATGGTCAGATAGATAGTTAGGGGATTTAACAACTAGATGTTTAACTTTCGGCATTAAGTTTTGGTTACAAATGATATAATCAACTGAGCTGGTTCCATTTTTACTATGAAAACTTGGTCTTCCCAAGGAGTCACCATTGGTCCGACCATTAAGAATTCTCATGTCAGTACTTTTGCAAATTTCAATAATTTTTTTACCATGATTATTGGTTGTTGAGTCAAGGTTTTGTCTTTGTGGTGGTTGAAAAGAGTTACCACTAGTGTCTTGAATGTGATTACTTCCATCACTTGAAATATAATCTTCGAGTTTGCTTGTTCTAGCATTTAGATCACCAAGAAGAAGTATATTTGCTTTGGATGAGAAAAGGACTAGATAATTTTCAAGTTCTTCAAAAATTTCGTTTTCAAAGTACTTTGATTTTTCAGGTGGGATGTATGTACCACACATGTATAGATCCCGATCAGAGTTTAAGATTTCTTTGGAGATTTTGCTCCACAAAAATTTTTTTGTATTCTTAATAATGCTTACATATTTCTTAAATTTGCTTTTGAATAACAGGCTAATGCCGCCTGATTTTCGGCATGCCCGGTTAGTAACTGGTTTGGCTGTTTCAGAAAAAATAGCCTCAAATCCTGGAATGTTTAAATATGTGTTTGTCCATGTTTCAGTTATAAATATGAAATCGATCTTAGAAATAGAATCAATAAAGTCCTTGTTTTTGGTTTTATCTCCAAGGACGCTATTGAATATACCATTAATATTCCAAGTGCTAAATGAAATTCCTGTGCTCATTTTAGATATATCAAATAATTTATTTCAAACAAATCACATGATTATAAAAGTATACATGTCAAGTGTCAACATAGCAAATATTTAACAGAACAACACATATGTATATCACAGAAATAAGCCGTATACGATTTTCTTAACAATACAGATAAGTAGAGACTGTTATGTAAATCGAAATTTACAACTGAACGTTTAGATGCCTTCGTAAAATCGGCACAAAGCGACTATAAAGTACAGGCCTTCGATTTAAAAATATAACTACACAGTCTGTCAAGTAACTATCCGCATACAAATAAGTAAATACACAAGAGACATACCTTTGAAAACAATCTCCTTGTGTTCTGTTAAGTCTTTCGATCTTTATAAGCAGAAAATTTGAATATAAATCTTTCCTGTTTGAATGTTTGTTCCCAAAAGATCGAACTTAGCGCGCTGATGTGAAAAGATTGAATTACTACAACACGTGATATATTCTAAGCATGGTAATTGGTTGAAACTTTGGAACTTCCACTTGGCGCAAATTATATTCAGCAGAATTCAGCAGCAGGACATTCCACAAGTTCAAATTACAGATTTACGCAGCAAATCAAAAATAAACAACTGATATACTGAGCGCAATGACAGTAAATTAATTTGACGAGAAAAACTCGATCGTCGCGCGCGATTGAACAATAATAAGCCGATACTGGTAATATTAAAAGCAATCTGACTTGGCAACATTTACGAAAAAGCGCGTCAACCAGCTAGATCTTGTGTCTTTGTCGGATGATTTTACACGCAGGCTTTCACTATACGAATTTGTATAGCAAATATCGCCCTAATTCAAGGTTGAAGAAACTTCAATATAGCTTCGGCTTTTCCTATGGATTCCTATGTGTAATGGTCGAGTTATATTACACAGGCCGAGTAAAAACTAGGCGGAATATTACTCGATATTTTTACTCCTATACTATACGATTAATTGTGAAGTAAAAAATATGAAATAAAATGTACTCGGTTATTTTGATTATGAGTAAAATTTACTCCGTTATTCTGTTTGTGAGTAAAATTTACTCCGTTATATTTTACGCCTTTAAGTGGAGTTAAATTGACCCTCAGTGGAGTATATGTTCGAATGCATATATCGAAGACGTATAGGCCGAGTAAATTTAACTTCAAAATTTTCACTCCCAACTTTTAATTCTCAGTGGAGTTGAAATAACTCCTTGAAATTAACAGTGAACACTCAACTAAATGACCAATAAAAAGTTGGATATAATAACTTATATAAATTGGTCGAAAGATGACCACTTTTTTCGACCAATTTGTAATAGTCAAAGGAACCAAATTTAATTGGTCAAATGCGACTAACTAATTAAACAATTGGTCAAAATGACCAATTGCCAATGGTTGCAACCTAAAAAATTGGTCATTTTAACCAATCAGTTTTTGCAGTGTACGACGAAAACGTAAAGCAATCGGATCAACTAAACATAACAAATGCATCCTATTAACAAGTTAGATATATTTTTTACATATACTGCAATTATTTTTTGAATTATTTCGTTATTAAATACTATAACGCTAACGGTTAAATATTCAAAATATATAGGACATTCAGAGATTGGGCCGCCTGTGCTCATAACAAAGAGGAATCCCCAGATATAAACATTGCCCAAATTTTCCATCTTTCGAACCCTTTTGAATTGAACCGTAGAGTTTACATGCATTTGCAAGCATAGCGAACCAGAAAAGTGTTAGAAATTCAGATAGTATATCATATTTTACAAATATAGCAGTTCAAAACGTAAACAAAGTTCGCCCACTGGAGTGGATATCATCTTTAATCATTGATCACATCATTGTTTAATGGTTAAACTCTTTCAACCGGGAACCCCGGTTGAAAGATTTTGTTGTTGCAGGCAAGATCTCGCAAGATCTTACCTGGAACAGACATGCATGCACGTGGACTATATTCTCAAGAAAGCCAATTCCTGCATTTATGCTTTGAGACAATTAAAGAAAGCTCTTTAACTCAACATGTTAAAATTTATTGCTCTTTGGTTATGTAGGTCTTGTATTGAATATGCATCACCTGTGTGGTCTAACCCAAAATTTAACAAATTTAATCGAGTCTGTTCAAAAACAAGCATTAAGGATAATTCTTCCCTCTCTTGCTTACGAAGTAGTTGCTAGACGCGGTCCGGTCTAGAAATCGCCGATCAAATGCTTGCCAGATGTTTATTGAGATAATGAAGTCTGACGATCAACCAAATAACCCTATTGCTAACATTCTGAGGCATAATATTCATAGTGCCACGTGAACATAGTTATAATTTAAGACACGAGGGAATAAATAGAGTAAGAGCACGTACTACACAGAACGTTTCTCTCAGTTTACTACATGCAAATATTATTGATGTTTCTTAGTCATTGTAGGTTTTTTAATTTAATATTGTTAATTGATAATTTATTTAATATTGTTAATTAGTCATTGTATTTTATTTAATATTTAACAATTATACCATGAGCTCGAGTCGTATATGAGCTCTCGTATACTACGAGAGCGAATGGTATAATTGTCCCCGAGCCGACGGCGCGAAGCGCCGTGCGAGGGTACTCACTCTGATTCCCCCCAGCTATTTACACACGAGGAAACGAAAGCATTAGCGAAGTCTAAAGTTGATCAATTATCGCGGGCGTGGGTGACCAACGATGTTGGGGTGTTGGGTGGGTGGTCATCCTCACTGATCTCAAAAATATGGCGGACTGTCATGAATAGCGGACACTGATTGGTCCAATTTCAAGTTTGCATCATAACGACTGCATGACGACAGTGAAATAGCAAACATTTCTTGATTTGATGATTGATAAATTTCTTGCAAATGTATTTCATTTTTGCTCGCATTTTAGCAAGATTTTGTAAATTTCAAAAGCTTTCTCATAAAGGGCCATAAAGAAAGGGCGAAAGAACGGCCAAAAGAAGGGAGCCGACGTTAACGAAGGTAAGTTTGTTTTAAATATTCATTTTATATTAATTGCTTTAAAACCCGACGGCCTTTGGCCCTTTGCGTATATGAAACGACTAAACAACACAGCATATAATTTCAGTGTATTATTAATATTGATTCTCTTTTGTATTATATTGAATGTTTTAAATAAAAAAAAGCAAAGTTATTTGCATCCGAGAATTTGAAATCATTTTATTGCAAACTCAAAGTTTATCGATAAAGCCATTTAAATATTAGGCATGAGTTTAGTTTTATAAACGGACGGAACACTTTAAAACGTTTTGCGAAGCGTTTGTGGTTGAATTTTACCTTAAAATAAAGCTTATGTTACGTTTAATAACATACCTGACATATATATGTTGGGAAATTGATAAATTTGTAATTAAAAGTGATATTTTTAGACAATTTTTCATTTATTAGAATATTCTTAAAAAATTATCGTGTTACCATGACAAATTCTTTAGATACTTCAAGGTCGAAAACTACAATGGTTTTGTCAGCAAGGCGAGGGTTTCTGCATGCATGTATTTTCTAGTTTTATAATATTTAACAATTAGACAACGAAGCCGAGTTGTCTATGAGCGAATAGTCAACGAGGAGAAGCCGAGTTGACTATTCGCTCAGAGACAACGAGGCTGAGTTGTCTAATTGTTTTAGTATAAACCACATAAAGAAAACGGAATTTTTCACTTGATTTTTATGTAAAAAAATAGTAACTTTTTAACGAAATGAGCTTTAAATGGCTTCCTTTGGCGACATTTCCCCTCGGCTTTGTTCACTACTCAGTGTTGCGAACTCCCAAGAATGACTTGAAAAATACAACTTGTGAGTTTTAAAAAAGTTTAAAAACATGTCGTAAAACAGTATAATAGTGAGAAACCGTTATAGAAGCAAAGTTTGGTTAATTAAAAAAGGAAACAAGGCCTAAAAAGTCTAAAATTTCGAACACAAAATGGCTTCTGGAATTGTTACTAAATTAGAAAATAAAGTTTACTTTGAAAAGTCGAATAAGGATGCACACACAAAAGAATTCGATTATCCGAATGTCGTTGATATCTTTAAAATATCTGGAACATAAAGAGGCCAACCATTTCCATAATCTAGGATACATAGACAATAGTTTAGATCAAAATTTAATCGAAAAATTCGACTTAAAAAATGTTCGAAAAGGTGAAAAACAAACTCGGCCAAAATCTCAATATTTAAACGACAAGCACACACTAAAGAGGTTGAGAAAAAAGGGTAAATAGCTACAAAGTATTGTTGAATTTCAACGATTCTGCTTGGAATATTAACAAACATTGTGCATAGGCCTATATTTTAAAAAAACGCCTGTCACTTTCATGCTCAAAACAACGAGCAAAGTTGAGAAAACTTAAAAATTTTACCGCATGTGTCAGCAGTTTCCAAGAGTCTTTGTTTGTGTGTAATCCAGAACCAAAATTAGGCCATTTTGATAAGCTTTTTCCCTTTGAATTCAGCTTTTAACACTTAAAAACGGCCATTGACTTTCGCGCCCTTCGCCGCTGTTGCTACTAGTAGGCTATCACTAATAGCCTACTAGTAGCGTAGCCAATCAGAACGTACGATACATGATAACCTACTATACACTGTTAATTTCAAGGAGTTACTTCTAGTCCGACAATAGGATTAAAGTGACTCCTGTGACCCCTTAAAGTTACTTTAGGAGGAGTTAATGTAACTCCAAACAAGTGTTATAATTACTCCATTTCGGAGTTGAAGAGTTTGTTTTACAGTGCGTCTACTGTAAGTGGGGCCACTTAGAGAACACTAACCAATCACATTGCAGAACAGAAAGTGAAAAAATCAACAAACGGCGCATTAGCCAATCAGCATTAGGGCAAAAACAATTCGAACAAATAAACGAATGTCAAACGGTAAAAATAGACATGTAAAAGTAAACATTGCAGTTAATGGCTTCCTGAATCTATTTATTTATTTATTTATTTATTTATTTAATTAACCCAAAAACAGGAAGGGCGCACCCACAGAGCCGAAGCTCCAATAACGGGTTCCCCGCGTGAGTTGTAAAATACATAGAAATATTGTATACAAAGAGTTAAACACTAAATAGTGCATCACAACAAAAAACAACAAAAAGTCATCACATAATATAAAGAAAGGGCACTAGCAGCACAAAGTGTCACTGAGTGAATCCAAAGGACGGGCTTTGTGACATTTGACACAAACAGTCTTGTATGTGTGCGGCAATTCTGGGTTATAAACAATAGTAGTTAATAAAAAATAGTAATTAAATAGACAACGTTTAAACGAAGACAATAAAGTTAAGTTTCTTAAAGATATTGGTAGAGTGTTCCACGTTCTGCATGCTCTGATATAAAAACTGTTTTGAAAAGTTACTGTTTTTGATTTGGTAATCTGAAGAAGGAGTCCTGATGTGGAACTAGAGCGTCTGGTTACACGATTTGGTGAATGTAGTTTTATATTTTTGTCGGAATTTTCATAAAGACATTTGAATAGATAAACAAGATCCAGGTATTCATGCCAGTAGGTAATTGGAAGAATGTTGAGTTTAGCGAGTCTTTTAGGATATGAAATATCTGTTTGAAATGGAAGAGATAAAATAAACTTCGTGCTGCGACGCTGAACTCGTTCCAGGGTTTGAATGTCATGGGTGGTTTGGGGTGCCCACACTTGGCTACAGTAACCAAGCTGGCTTCTTACTAGGGCTAAATACAGGGTCTTTCGTACTTTTGGGTCACTTGCATGAAAACACGATCTTTTTACGAACCCCAACATTTTGTTGGCCTTATTTGAGACGGCTTGGACGTTGAGGCTCCATTTAAGATCTTTAGAGACTATAACACCAAGATCTTTTTGTTTGTTGATTGTTTTAAGTAAGTTGCCTCCCACGTTGTATGAGTAATGGATCGGTTGAGAATTTCTTGTAATGCGAAGGAGACCACATTTAGAGTGATTTAAAGACATCTGCCACTCCTTGCACCAAGAGTCAATAGCATTTATGTCAGACTGCAAGACTTCGGCGTCCTCATAACATTTAATGGGTTGATAACATTTAGAGTCATCCGCAAACATTGCCAATGATGAAGAACTTGAGACACAGTCGGGAAGATCGTTTACATAAACCAGGAAAAGTAGTGGTCCGAGTATCGATCCCTGTGGCACACCAGATAGGACAGGTAATGGATTCGAGGTCTCGCCGAGAACCGTTACCCTCTGGTAGCGACCAGAAAGATAATCACGTAGCCAAGATAGGAGATTACCGGAGATGCCAAAACGTTTCAATTTGAAAAGCAGCAGTTCATGGTTTACTTTGTCAAATGCCTTGGCAAAGTCCAAGTACAGTGTGTCTACTTGACACTTGTTGTCTAGATTGTTTCCAATGTCGTGTAACACCTGCAGGAGTTGACTAGTAGTTGACTTGCCCTTCAAGAAACCAAACTGCAGATGATGTAATTTTTCTCCAATGTGCTCAATAAGCCTGTTGTAGATACATCTCTCAAGTACCTTGGATACAAGTGATAGAAGCGAAATAGGTCGGTAATTGGTAACATTGCTAGAAGACCCGCTCTTTGGGATTGGCGTAATGTTGGACAGTTTCCATTCTTTTGGCAACTTACCAATAGACAATGTTTTATTGAAAAGCTCAGAAAGAGACGAGCAGATACTGGAAGCACAGTGTCTCAAAAGTGTGGCTGGAATTCTGTCAGGTCCTGATGCTTTATTCTGATCTAGTGTGCAGAGACATTCGTAAACTTCCTCAGGCGTAATAACGATATCCCGAAGTGTGTCAATGGTATTATAGTTTTCCTGGTCGAGGTGACGATGTGAATCGTGGCATTGGGCAGTGTTAAAGACTGAGAAAAAATAACGGTTGAATACATTTGCAATGTCCGCAGGTGGGGATCCCCGTTCTTTTTTTTTAGTAAATTTAGTTAAACGTTAGTGACCAAATAATTATTTATTCTAATTGAAAACATTTGACAATATAAAAAGTAGGGGTGACCGTTCTTTTTTCGAGTTAAATTAGTTTAAAGCGAAAAAATCGGCCATATTGAGACGTTATGGTTACCATAGCAACGACAGTCACATCAGTTCTGGTAAAAAATTTATACTCTTCAGATAGTAATTTTTATAACTTAGTACTATTTGCATTCTCATCAAGTAAAATTTGTTAAAAAATTTCACTTCAATCAAAAACCAGTAGGGAGCTACCTTAATGTATGCATGGATTATGAGTCTAGGTTTGGGGTTTTATTTAAGGATTATGAGTCTAGGTTGGGGTTATATTTATCCCAAAGGTCGCGGGTTCAATTCCCACCGTGGCCAAGCTAACTTTTCAGCTTGCCCCGTGTGGATGCATGCATACTCAGAGTAACATCACAAACATCATGATTTTAAAAAGACAAACATCAACATTTATTCATCACTTGGCAAAATGACATTATGGACACAAGTCTACTTCACGTAGCAGATTAATGATATTAGATGCTGTATAGAAAAAAGTTGTCCACATTCTTAGTTTGTTACAATTTCAAACTTAGAAACTATGTAACTGTAATTTGTTCTTACTCCATAAGGTTTAGTTTTATTGAGAGGCAAAAACAGTTCAAATAACTTTGATGAAACAAAACCAACTGTCTTCTGAGTGCTGGGCTTACTTCATAACTTTGATAGTGGGCATTAAACTCAACTGTATGCAGTTGGGATAGCATAAATATGATGTCACTGATATCTCGATCTACAGTGCCTATCTTAACCACTTTTCCAAAAACAGGAACATCATATTCATCAGTTCCCATCTGTAGGATGCAGCCAACCTTGTACTTTGTACCATGAACAGATACCCATCTGTATCTTCATGCATGCAAGGAGAAGAAGGAAGGTATATTTCAAAATTTGCGCGGCGACAAATAATATGTAACATATACAGTATGCAAACAGAAAAAACGATGAGGTCAAAGGCAAAGCGGAGAGAATGAGGCTAAAATGGGCAAAGAATAGAACAATGAAACAAAATGCAACATCGCTTTTATTAAAAAATACAGTTTTTAGTTTTGTATAAAATTATCATCAAGAGTATGACAGTGCTGTTAGCCTTGTATTCCGGTATAATTTCCCTTGAAAACTTTCATTAACAAGTTTTAGTTGCTCATGTATATGCGTGAAATTGACATTTCTTTCTTGCTAAGGAGACTGGTTCAAAATTTTGCATGTGGGCAACAAGGAATACTTGTTTTTTCAGACTGATGAACTACCAAATTGTTAACAATCTTGTCAAGGAAAATTTCAATACTCACCATGAGGGGCAGTTTCAATTCCTTTTGTTATAAACGATGACAGACTGCCATCGAATGTTTGGAGTCTGTAGCAAATGCCTTCTTGGTGACGTTTAGTAAGGGAGTATGGCAAGTCGATGTAGTTTCCCATGAAGACTGCCAGTCGTTTGAATTCATGGTGCTTTGCCTCAAAACGCATACACCAGCTTCGTATAAGAGGTCCAAATCTTAAGGAAACAAACTCTGTTAATATAACTAGAGTGCAATGTAGACATCCAACATAATATCAATTTATTGCTATGAAAAAGTATTATGTACCTCAAAATTGCTCTTGGCATATGTATCATGTAATGCATTTTGGGGATAATTGGACATCCTGGATATAATGCTTTGAACTTCTCATGATGACTCTGAATTAAAACTTGCAGATAGGCAAATAGATTGTGGCTTACTGTTGGTGCAAAGATAATAGGAATAATCTCAAGCAAGTCACAGAATAATGCCCAGTTCTCATCGTTGTCTGGAACTAGGCCACCAATCATCAATGGTAGATTTATTGCCAGGCACCACATTTGGTTAGCTAAATTATCAAAAAATGTTCAATCAACATGGAGGAGCATTTCGACAAGCAAAATAAATCATGTAGTATTTACTGTACCATGTTGTTTGATACTGTGGTCAGATGAAGTTAAACGACTCCGCTGGAGTGGTGCTGGCTTGTTTAAATCGTTATTATATCCATAATCAAAGGAAGAAATGCACTTGTTCATTTCATCAATAGAAAATAAGCCTTTTTCAAACATCAATGCTTTCAAAGTTTCCTTAACACTGTAGTGAAGAACTCCTTCCAAAACATCATGCATTGCATCAGGAGGCATGCCACCAATAGCATGGAAAGACCTGGATTTGTTAAGGACCGAGTTGCTGATTATTCCATAATCTTTCGAATAATAAGGATCGTCATTGACACGATTACACTGACTATCATGGCCTGTTGGAGTTCTCAGAACAAAATCTTGTTCGTGGAACTAAATAGATGAATATATCAGTGTCAGTGGTGAAGCCAACCCGACCATTTGGTCTAGCTATGCAAATATTTCCATGTTCATAGACCGTGAAAACAATCAATTTCTAAAGAAATGAATAATTTGAAATTTGTATAGCATGACCAAATTGTCGGGCTGGCTTCGCCACTGACCAGTGTGTAGGCAGGGGTGGTTCTTGAAAAAACCCGAAACCAAAAACCGTCAGGGAAAAAAACGTCTTTCCAAAAAACCCGGTATTTTTCGGTAAAGCCTACTGTATGTGTACATGTCGAATGTGGTCCATAATAATACAATGCTAGCAACTTTCTTTACACTTACACAAATCGAAATCTGAATCTGAGTGCCAATACACTCCCCACGAACTCTATGTGCTCGTGATCCTTCTTTAAAGCCACCAATGAACTGTAACCCAAGGTTGTCACCACAGAAGAATGCAATTGTGCCTCGGAACATCCTAGGATCTCCATGTATCAAAAACTGGAAACCTGTATCCTGTCCAATACATTGTAATGTAAGCATTATATATGGACATCAAAACGTCCTCAACAAACAGACCTGATAAGTAGGCCTACTTTGGGGGCCAAGGTCGCCTAATGTCGCCTAATTTCGCCCACTTTCGCCCATGTGCACCCAATTTTTTAACTTTGCCTGACAGTCTATTTGCTTAATGTCGCCTAATTTCGCCTAATGTCGCATAATCTCACACAAGCATGCCCAATTTTGCACTTTGAGTTTGTCGTCCATACTAGTCTATTCCTTATTTATTTGTTAGTTTCTTGCATGTTTTTTTCATAAATACATGTACACAAACACCAAGGGCATGTGCTGTTAGGGCACCATCTCTCACCAGTATTAATGAGGCTTGGTTATTTGGGGTTTATATGTATATGAATTACAACACATTATTCCAATGAGAATTACCTAAATTATGTTGTTAAGGCAGCCTTCTGGCTATCTTCTCCAATGTGTTTCTTTGTGAAACTCAATCAAATTAGACAATCACACGCCATTAAATGTTGTATATGAAATCAAACTTAGATCTTATTATCAAAGATACATTCATGATAACTGGCGAGTGCAAAAGTACAGAATACCTCTCACTAGCCTAGTGAAGGACACTAGGTATCCTAAAGGCCGAAACGGTATCCTAAAGGCCGAAACGCCCGGGGATATATAAGATATAGTATAAATCAGTGCACGATCCTTTTTGAGTCTCTATGAGGCATTATATCAATGAACTTGGAATTCATCTCGGGTAAGTTGCTTTTTGGCCCTGGAATTTCTCAGAAGTAAACAAATTATCCTGGCTATGGAATTATTCAGGTGTTGGGTATTTTCAATGAGATTTCATCAGGGGTCAAAGGCAAAAATTGAAATTCTATAGGTAAATGCTGAATTATTTTTAAAGTGGTAACTGCTATTAACAGGAAACCATCATGGGACATACTTTGTTACAGTAGGAATTTCTCAGGGGTACATATAGTAAAACCTTGAACTCGATAGGGGGGTTACCACCGGTACATGTTACTGTATATGGAATAGTCCTATCTATAAATAAAGAAAGTCATCTATAGCATGTTCAAAATACGACTTTGTAGTTTGTAAAATAAAAGTACTTACTTTTCGACGAAGCTACGATGATCGACATCTCATAATTAGGTATAATCGCAAAAGATACAGAGCAATGAACGCACCACAGAAAGATCTACGGTACAGGTTGTTTATATAAAATGTGGCCAAGGCCCGCCATAACAATTATTATGCTTCCTTACACGAAGTAGTACAAGTTAGAAGCTAAACCAGACGTGCCATGGTATTGCGGGCTCAAATCCCAGCCGAACAAGAACTGGTCTCTGAGGTTTTGGATAAAAGGAATTTAATTATTTATTAGTTCAGTTAAAGTAAAGGAACTGTCATCTAATTTTAGTAAAGTAAGTCAGTATAGTTATACAAATGTATATGGATCAAACTTTTTTCTATCTGTTTGCTTTGAAAGTAAATTCTATTTTTTATTGAAACTATAATATTTATAGTTATCACTATTTGAGATATTTGTTTGCCAGTTTGGTGGGTTAGATTTCAAGCATGGTTATGGTGGTACATGATTTACATGGTACATGTTTATGATAGCTAGCTAGCTGACAATTTATTTACCTTAAATGCCAATTCTTTCACTTCCATAACTGCATACCACAGTCCATAAACAAGTTTTAAAACTCTATGAGGTGTTTACCCCAGCCAATTTAATAAGAAGTCAGAGTTCCATGATACTGTAAATGTACCATGCACTGCATGGGCATGTATGTGTACTACGGTATAAACTTTGAGTAAATTGTCAGGCTAGCAGTTAGATAAATGTTCCTTGTTATTTTTTGATATTTGTAATAAACTAATTGTGTTCTTTGCCACATGAACCAATTTTTGATAACTAAATTATATTTGGATATTTACTGTTGTATTTTCTATGTAGATGCATAATTTGTGAATTATAATATTTGACGTTATCTGGATATTACTGTTCAGTTTTGTCCAATGTCGCCTAATGTCGCTCAATGTCGCCGAGTTTCGCCCAGCGACGCACACTACTTTTCTTTGAAAATTGCCAATGTCGCCTAATGTCGCACAATGTTGCACATAATAACGGCGACCTTGGCCCCCAAAGTAGGCCTATAAGTCAGCTGAGCCAACTGTATTTCCTTGATCTACTGTATGCTCAGCCAATAATAGACATGAAGTTAGAGTTATAAACCGAGTAGGAGGTTTATAACTGATATATTGCCCCAGAGGACGCGTGGCGTCCGAGGGCAATATATCAGTTATAAACCGACTTTCGAGGTTTATAACTAACTTATATTACATTTGTGGATGTTTTCTAACATATTTTGTCATTTTCAAAAATTTTTAATGAAAAATTCTCGCGTTTTGTCTACAAGTTTAATCTAATCATTTATTCAAGGTATATAAGCTAGTTATAAACCTCGGACGTTCAAAGAGAACCGACACAAATGTGATATAATTTTTAATATCAAGTATTATTAATTATTAACAACATGCATTTATTCATCGTAAGCTACATAGAAATGTAATTAGGTCACCTATACACATGTACACTATATACATATAGTACCAGTACTAAATGTATACAGTCATAATGCCATGATTCTAAATTCAAAGGAAATACCAACAAATAATATACAGTATGTATAACAGAATAATTGTTTATGTGTGTGTACACTTCGCACACATGTTAGTAATACAGTAATGCAAAAAGCAGTTTTACTCACTTGTTCGAGCTTAGCTAAATCTTCCATGAATAGATCAAGTAAAGCTCCTGCTCCATACTTTTTGAGGTGCCTGCACGAGATCGGACCAAGTAACTGAACAGCATTCTTATGGGATCTATTTTCTGGTCTGATGTTTCCCAAGGTATAATAGAAGGCACCTGTATTAAACATTGTTGATAATGGTAATCAATTGTATTATTCATTAATTTATGTGGATTTACTGTATTGCAAACACCTGTCTTTAAGCAGAATTAACCCATTGAGTTGCATTGCAGCCAAATATGGCCTATAGTACCTATTTGTTCTTTTACTCTGTCTAACATCATATATAGTATTACTTGTCAACGGAAAGTCTTGTAACTAAGTAGGTTAAATTTGGTCCTGATGAAGGGTCTGCCTAGCCTTTAAAGGATTGTACACATCATAGAATACTGCATTATGCTAACTCTACATACCGATCTTGTGTTTAGTTGCCCTTGATCCAAGTGGATTGCACACTTCAAATTCATCAATATAAATAATGAACTGTAAGGCATAGGGGTCTTGTGAGAAAAGTGGATGTTCTTTAAAGCCATCTGAATCACAGTAATCACGCATGAGACCATCATTACTAGTATGTGGATTGTCAGTCTACAAAAACATATTAAACAAACCAGTAATCAAGGCTTGAGAAAACATCTTGATGCAATTTTACGGTGTCCCGACAAATATTTTAAAGGATTTATCTAAATTGAAGATTCAGTGCAAATTTGGCTGATTTTTATTATATGAGCCATCTATTGTTGTAACTCCTTTTGCACAAATCGAGAAAAACTTGAAAAAGTTTGTGAACTTATTCAAGTTTCACGCCCGCCGACTAAATCACATCGCTCAGCAAGCGACACTGTGCCTTTAATGTATGCAAACATAATGTTCATGTGAAATGGATGTTTTCACTAAGAGCAGTTTTATATGTGTAGTTGTCACAGTACACACATCAATGCCTGCTATTCCATAGCTTTAGGGCATAGTCATAACATCAGATCATTGAGATAAAAACAATCTGAGTGAATATTTCAAAATCATCCTCAGAGATACGAAAAACCAGTTTCATATTATTCTGACACTGCAATCGAGCAACGAAAAATTTGTTGGTTCGAGCAGGATTTGAACATACGATACACTACAGTAATTGCATGTAAAGTAGTGCTTATATCAAGTACCAATCAAGTCGCATGATACTTCTTTTCAAACACACCTGTTACAAGATGGGATCGTCATTTAACAACTGTTGTAGACTCTCTAAAACTGGAATGTAGTATGCATCGTCAGTTTTCTGGATATCTTTTAACTTGTTCCCTCTTCGCACTTTAGTGTGGTAATGTCCAAGTACAATTCTTCTTGGCTCCTAAAAAGATAAATAATAAAAATTTGTGTATAATAGTATAAATGTTGTAATTTTGTATTCATGCTGGTATTGCTTGGCCCTGGTGGATGGTTAATAAAGGCAGAAATGTCTTGTTTGTTCATAGCTGGATTCGTTGGTAACGTTGCCTCTAATGCACATGTCATCGGCCATCCCTGGTGGGGGGGCTCCAGGCTAAACATTGTAAATTTGGGGACTTTGCAGGGGGATTAATTCTAAAATAACTCCCTGACCCTGGGAGAAATCAAACCTTTCACAGAGAACATGCGCAAGCCCTTGGTCAGGGAAAATACCCGCGGAATTTCCAAGTTGGGAATTCTGAATGTGGTCAGCGGTCTGAATGCGCTCATTCGTTGTGTTACTGCGTACTAATTGCTATTATAATGATTTGCTTTGCCTTGTTGTAGGAGACTGTTTCTCAAGTTTCGCTTAACTTTTTTTTATCAATACTGTGCAACAATTAAACATTATTTTGTTCATTGTTTCAAACTTGATGTTTATTGGATGAAAGTTAATGTTTAATACTAGGGGCATACTTCATTGTTTCTAAGGTGAAACTTCATCTACCAATGAGATTATGAGAATGCAAGGTAGTTTACGTTGCACTGCAAAATGAATTCGCAATGTTTTTCCCCAGTTCGAATTATTCCGGGGAAACATTCTAGGGGTGCACCGGATTTGGAATTTTCAACTCCGGCCGGAACCGGATTTACAGGATTTGGACAAAAATTCCAGCCGGATTTGCTGGATTTGAGATAAACCGGTAATGGGGACAACTGGGGATAAATTGGAATAATAGAGTATTCAAAATGGCGGTTTATGTTTTTTACTATTTTTAGTTAGTGTCAGTTTAGATTTTTGATTGTGTTTAAACCTTTTTCAAATATCTTTTTGTTAATAACTTAATATTTTATAATAATATTAGTGTTTATTAAATTTTAAAGCTGCCAAATTGATGGTTTATCCCATTCTTGGTGAATTTTTTAAGGTGAAAGCAGAAATTTAAATCCGGACGAATTTTCTCCAAATCCGGCCGGATGCCAGAAAAATCGTTAAATCCGGCCGGAATTCCAACCGGATTTGAAATCCGGTGCACATAGTCTAGGACCTGTATATGAGTTTGTATGCATTTCATTTAGGACAGATAATCTCAACTGTTTTGGGGCAAGTTGACCATGACGGTCAACATGGTAACGCTGCCCGAACCCCAATCCGGGGCGAAACGTCCGAAACTGACCACACCCAAAAACGACGCTTTCGCCATACTACTATTTACCAAAACATAAAAGCTTTGGCTATTCTGAGGTGCTTATATGAATCAGAGATGGTACTTTTGGCGGTGGTCATTGCTAAGTGAGAAATTCCTAGCACTAATATTTCACAAGAAAATGACCATGCAATAATCATAGTTAAACGTCAATTTGTGGCTTGCAACTTCAGATAAACAGCAGTGGACTTACACTACCTTTTTCCCTAAATCTTTTTGATAGAAACATAAATGGTATTTATTTGAATATATTATCACTGGTTTGGTGTAAAATAGTTAATATTTTCTGACCGAAATAATAATTTGAAATGTGCCTACCTCCTGCAAATGGACGTATTTGGCCAAGTTCTCCACTTTACTCCGCTGTTTATCGGCGATCTCGTCGACATCCTACAAAAAATGTAAATCGTCTCAGACATAATGGTATCAAGAACATTTTAAACAAGTTTCAACTTGGTTTCAAGTAGATCATACCTGTTTAACCATCGACAAGGTAAATCCACAACTTTGTCCAAATTCGGCGCCATTTTGTCATCCCATGTCGCTTGTTAACAATTCAGCCTTGTTACTCTTCCATCCAAGCCATTTCCATTCCACTAATAATACATTTAAACCTTTATAACAGGAGGAAACTAAAAATCTAAACAAAATACAAGAAATACGCCATTTTATCACCCTGTAAAATGTTGTTTACGAGTCCTTCAAAACATTTCGTACAAATCTCGCGTGGTTTAGCAACAGGGACGTGACAGGGGGGGGGTAGAGACTTAAAAATGAAAGGAAAGCCCACACAGTATGGTAAAACCAACAATCAACATTTAATTTGTATGACTTTTTCATATTAATAAATAATAATATGTATATATTTGTCGCTACAAGAAATAAAACAAACGTTTGTATGATTGTATTTAGCTTTTAGTCTATTTCACGCAGCCTTCTTCTATCTTCGTGAAATAATTCACCCCCCCCCTGTCACGTCCCTGTTACTTTGTCACGCGAGATTTGTACGGAATGTTTTGAAAGACTCGTGAGCAAAATTTTACAGGGTGATAAAATGGCGCATTTCTTATATTTTGTTTAGATTTTTTAGTTTCCTCCTGTTATAAAGGGTTAAATTTATTATTAGTGGAATGGAAATGGCTTGGATGGAAGAGTAACAAGGCTGAAGTGTTAACAAGCGACATGGGATGACAAAATGGCGCCGAATTTGGACAAAGTTGTGGATTTACCTTGTCGATGGTTAAACAGGTATGATCTACTTGAAACCAAGTTGAAACTTGTTTAAAATGTTCTTGATACGATTATGTCTAAGATGATTTACATTTTTTGTAGGATGTCGACGAGATCGCCGATAAACAACGGTGTAAAGTGGAGAAATTGGCCAAATACGTCCATTTGCAAGAAGTAGGCACATTTCAAATTATTATTTCGGTCAGAAAATATTAACTATTTTACACCAAACCAGTGATAATATATTCAAATAAATACCATTTATGTTTCTATCAAAAAGATTTAGGGAAAAAGGTAGTGTAAGTCCACTGCTGTCTATCCGAGGTTGCAAGCCACAAATTGACGTTTAATTTAAAAATTAAATGAGACTTACCTTAAGTCGAAATTTGATTGTAATTCTATGAGTCTTTGGACAAGGAAACTAAGGAGTCATGTGAGATATGCGCACGCAGATCGAATGTTCAATATTTAAAGCAACGAGTGATTTCAACAGAATAGATACCGTATAGGGGTGGGCAAGACTGAACAGGACATTTCTTGTGTATTCGCCAATCCAGTGCCCAACACTGACTTATAACCACAAACCCAAAAATGTCATGGGTGGGTGACTCCTTAGTTTCCTTGTCCAAAGACTCATAGAATTACAATCAAATTTCGACTTAAGGTAAGTCTCATTTAATTTTTAAATTCTATTTCGTCATTGGACTACGTCACTAAGGAGTCATGTGAGATATTCAAAGTGTTGGAATCACGAGAGCCATGTATAACCATTTCACAAAAGGTGAAATTGAGCTAACACTCATGGAATGGTAAATTAATTAACAGCAAAGATTGTCAGTGATAATCTTCAATAATATAATGAATTAAATGCATATTTGAATGTTGTATGCATATTCGTCATGAGTATTCCCTAAAATTTTGCTTGGAACTGAACAGTATTACCAGTATTTTTCATGCTATATCCATAATGCAATACTCAAAACTCAATAGTTTAGTATTAACGCCGATAATATCACTTTACCAGGAAAATCATCAGGTCAACGACCCTTGTTCCGAGTAAACCTGTGCAAAGGAATTAGGATTCCCACTTGTGTGTGGGGCCCACATAATATCAGCAGTTTTCCAAAGTCTGTTATTTGTTAAAAATCCTCAGAGAAATTTTTTGTCGTGGTAGGTGACTTCCACACAACCACTGATTTTAGTAGCTTGTTCTACGTTCGAATGTTTAACAAAT